CTGTCCTAATCTTTCTTTTATATATATCAAATTATGAACTGTTTTATATACTGTGCTTGTTGGAAATAGTAGATATTTATTGAGCTTTAAAGTATGCTCTGTGCTACATGGTTATACATTGATCTAATTTACTTCTCTCATATAGCTAGCAAGTGACAGATGTAGTGTGTATACCCAATGCAATTCAGTAGGAAGCCACAGCCATTGATGCCTCACCAGGAAAACTGAATCTCATAAGTATTGTCCTGGAAACCTTTATTTTTGAATGTGATTTATTAAAAGTGACAATGTATAAAAGTAAAAAAAAAAAATCCTTTTTTTATTTTTAGTGAACATGAAAAGATTATTTTGTACAAAAAATATCTGAAATTGGAGTCCTCCACACATGCTTGTAAAATAAAGGTAAGTCATTACTAAACTTTAAGTTGAAAACTACAGTGTTTTTGTACTATATATATTTCCTCTTGGGTTGGTTATGCAATTAGTCCAACTAATTAGTCCCAGGTTTTAGTTCAGAAATACTTAGTAAACATGTAAAAAACATTCTTTTCTAAAAAATTATCAACATTTTCCTTTTAAAATTTGACTACTCATTAGCTATGTCATGTCCTCTTGTTAATACAGTACTTTGTACTTATAAGCCTTGGAAAACTGAGTTAAAAAAACATTTTTTATTCTTATGTAAAACTTAGGTGTCAAGAAAACCACAAGCAGTTTTGGTCTCAAAATCCCAAGAAAGAACACAGTTAGAGAAGTTTCAGACAAGGGTGCCACAACGTTAAAGGGATTTGGACTGGTGTCTTCAGCATGAAAAATATTGTTAAACTTTAATGATGTCATCAGAGTCTAGGTACTGAGCTGGAAATCATAAGCCCTGACTATTAAATGAGCTGTGCTGCTGAGTAGCAGAATAGCCCTGGGAAAGTTTTTCACCTGTTTGGAACCACCTCATGGGTAGAATTGGGGACTGAAGAAAATAAATCTTTGGATTATTTTTATCTCTAAAATTCCGTGCTTATTATTACTTATAGATCACAGAACTGATTATTCCAACATGATGTTTTAGAAGTACATACATATTAATAGCTTCTAAAGTCATTAAAAGACAGTGATTCATTTATTCAATAAATATTTGAGTTTCTATTGATGGCAGATACTGTATTAGGCACTTGAGAATTAGCAGTAATAAAATAAATTGCATCGAAATTCTCCCGTTAGTATTATGGTGGGCAAGACAGATAATAAGATTCAGTGTTTAAAATGTATACTACATTTGATAGTGAGAAAGTCTTGGGGATTAAAAAGCAGAAAAGTGGTAATATGGAGGTTGGAATGTGGTTGAATACATTTAATGAAGTGTTTACTTAATTGTTGATGACAGTCATGTTGTTGGTGCCACTGAGTTTTTAGGTCCTGGATCTGTATTCACCTGTGTCTTTGTGGGATGTATGGGTTTGTGTGTGTGTCTCTGAAGGTGAATGTTTTTGAAACTGTTCTATGGAAGTACATGGAGCAGTTGTTTCATTTAGGGAAATCTTGGGTTTGTATGAAGGCTTCTGGGGCAATGGTATATGAAAATTAAAATAAAAATAACAGTGATGCATATTTTTGAGCTCTTACTCAGTGGTAGATACTGGAAATTTTAACACATAATCATCATAACAACCATGTGAAATCACATTGCTCCTGACTTAAGTTTTGTCACTTGCTCAGGGTCACACAGGCTCATAAGTAGCAGCGTCATCACTGAACTCATGTCCGTCTTATTCTAAACCCTGCTCCCTTTCCACCTAGCTTTATTGTTCTGTAGCACACATTAAATATATTTTGGTTCAGAAGCATGGACACAGTGAGGCAGCATGAAGCATTGGAAAAATTACTGGGATAGAAAACAGGAGAAATAGGCTCAAAGCTCAACATACCAATTGGGTTGTTGGAAAAGTCACGACACACTTTTGCAATGAAAAACATAGAATATGTCATGACTTTTCCGACAACCCAATAATTGGGTGTCCTTCGATAAGTTAGAAAATCACCCTGAACTCCTGTTTTTTATCTGTAAACTGTCGAGCTCTATTAGATCATCTTGACATTCCTTTACAGTTCTAAATTCTAAAATACCGCCTTATATTTAGTGTTTCAGCAAACGCTGCATGGGCTCTCGACAGCCTTGTTTTGTATTAAATATTATAGCAAGTTGCAGTATGGTAAGGTGTCAGATTGGTATGCTTTATTTTTAATTGTTTAAGTAAGTAAAATGTTATATTTACATGTAATTTTTTGGTTTGAAAAGGACTTTTTTATTTAACTTGTTCTTTTGAGCATTTTTTCACACTATGACTAATCTAGTGAAATTTTAAAACATACTTGAAGTTAATTTTTAGATTCTTGAATGCTCTACTCTTACTTAAATTATAACAAGACGTGACATTAAATGTGATTATTGTTTAATATTATTACTTCCTGAACTTTTGTTTTATAATAGTTGCTCTCCTTTGGTGAAAAGCAGTGTGTGTTCATCAGTAAAGTTGTGGTACATGTGAGACCAGTTTCAGCAAATCCTTCAACAAGCTCTCCTGCTCTAGGGTCAAGGATAGACCTCGAGAGGGTCCAAACCATCATGGAGTCCATGGGGTCAAAGTTATCACCTGGAGCTCAGCAACTGATGAGTATGGTTAGGTTTCAGCAGCAGGTAAGGAGGAATGCATTTCTTTCCAGATACCATTAAAAATGTCAAACTGATGGCTTTTCATAAGGACATGTAGTGACTTAAATAATTCCTTGAACTTTTATTATTGATTTGACTGTTACCTTGATTTTACTGTTGTAAAAATAACATTTTGTAGACCTACCCTCTTACAAAATATTTGTGTGACAGACTTCACTGTTGTCCATGAATTCACTCATTCATTCAGCATATATTTATTAAGTACCTTCTCAGTGAATACAGCACTGTTTGGAGCACTTAGGAAGATTCAAACATCAATTCTCTATAGCCTGTTTTTAAGGCTCTTTATAATCTCATTTTTCTAGGCCTTTAAAGAAGAAGCATGGACTTACGCAAGTAAATTTGGAAGGATTCAATTTCACAGAAAGTAGTATGGACTTAGTCTTCAATGCTAGAAGGAATGGGATCTAGCTAGGAAATGAATAGAAGTTCATTTCTCTGGAATGAAGAAGTGGCAGGGAAAGTTAAAAGTAGATTGGGGCTGGATCGTAGAGGACTCTGCATGCTGCTGAAGAAGTTTGTAGGTGTTTTTCACCTACATTTTCATTAATTCTAATCGGTTATATGTAAGGTGAGTCAGAAGGAGAGGTGAATCTATGCAAAGTGAGGTTATGAGGAGGAGAGCAGCTACACGCTATTTCCTTGTCCAGATGAGAGTGAACAAGGGTTGAACGTGGGACAATGTAACGTGATGCTGGATTGTGAGATGCTAAAACTATGGGGCCATTAGGACTTGACAACTAACTTAATATTGGTGCTGAGGGAGAAAAAGCGAGTCAGATGTAAAACTGAGGTTTTGAAGATGGCGTTACCAACAGTACACGTGGAACCCAAGAGAGGAGATTACTTGGGAAGGCAGCAGTTTAATTTGGGGAGTATTGAGTTTTAGAGGTGAATTAAAATCACCTGGGAGGATGCTGCGAGCATTGGAAGCGCAGGTTGGGGGAGGTGGAGTGGAAGGCAGGGGTAAGAGGCGTACCCCAAGTAGATGACAGGGAAAGGGGTGAAGGGAGTGACTGCAGCAAGAAGAAAGACCCCTGGGGAGTAGCTACATTTGGTGCGGATATAGGGAGAGGAGAAAGGACTGGAAGAGTGAAAGACAGCAGTGCGGTAGAGGAACAAGAGAAAAGAATTCAGGAGACCTGAATTCAAGTTCTGGTGCTGACATCATTAGTTCTGTCTTATTTGTCACTGCTTCATCTTTTCAAGATAAATTTCATCATGTTTACAATCTGAACGATAATACTGCTAAGATCATAGGATTGATGTGCAAGTTTCAAAGAAATAGTACAAATAAAACACTTGTGTAACTTTCGTTTACTAATATTAATTTAGTACGAATATCTTTGAAGTAGTGGAAAGAGGTCGAATGAGGAGCCCTGATGATTATCATGAAACAGTGGAAAGGAGAGTTTCAAAAAGAACATGCTGCATACTTATCTCAGCTCGATACCTCAGGAGGTTCCTGACTGGTCCTCTGTTCCATTGCAGTCCGTTCTTCACAGGGCAGTGAAAATGGTCTCAAAGGGTAAAGCAGACTCGTGCTTGCCCTGCGCACAGCGCCCTGACTGCTTCCCGTCACACCAGGTTAATCCAGATTCCTTTCCCTGGCACCCGAGATCTGGGCCCTTCTTAACCTCACCTACCATATCTCCTTGGGTGCCTTGCTGCAGACATTCTGATTTGTGTATTTCTCAAATGTCCGATATATTCCCACCTCAGGACCTGTGCACTCAACTTTCCTGGACTTAGGTGGCCTGGCTCGTGTCCCGACTCTGCCACTCGCTAGTTGTGTTACCTTGGCCCAGTTACCTTTAACCTTGGTCTCCTCAACTTTATATTGGACAGTAACTGTAGCTTGCTTCATGTGGATGTTTTGAGGATCAAATGAAAGCATGCACATTGCCTGACTCCTAAGTTAGCTGTTGTTAGTGTTAATAGTAACACTTACGTGTTTCCCTTGCTTAGAATCGTATTGCCATTGGAGAGCAGCTTCAGTCGGTTCTGGGAAATACCGGATACAGGTGTATGGTTGACCTACATTCATCATCTACGTCAGGGGCCTTTGACAAGCCATCCGCCACACCTTTTCCTTTTAGAACTGGATTGACAGCTGGAAACGTGACCGAAGACCTAAAAGCTTCCATTGATAAAAGCGCACAGCCACCTGGTGAAGGGACTAGTACAAACCTCGAAGAGTGTAACATTGTGCCACAAAACCATGCTCTTCTTGAGAATGATCTTAAGAATGTAGTATCTTCTTTCTTACCGAAGAAAGCAGGTGACAACTCCAGTATACTGAAGTCTGAGTTGCTGCCCTTTCTCCAGAATTTGTGTAGTCAAGTTAACCATCTCCGGGCGGGTCATAACAGCGAGCATCTGGAAACTATCCCCAAGCCCCGTGAAGGCGATGTTGGTGTTGCGTAAGTATCTAAAACTAATGGGATTTAGACGTGCTGGATGGGAGAATCAGCTGGAGATAAGCATTTGTTTGAATAACTACTGCCTGAAAATGTTTCCAGAGAAAATTTTAGGAGCTCTTATATTTTACCATTAAAACAGTGATAGGAAATAAATGTTCTACAGAGTAGAATGGCTTGCTTTGAAAGAAGTACCCAAAACTTCTCAGGCGTTTTGTGGAAGGGATTCAAGCGTCGCTTAAGTGTTGGAGTAGAAAGTTACCTGTACGAATTGAGATGAGCTGTGTGAACCATAATATGTACGTTGCTTGCCTCGTTGTAGTAAATGAATCATCAGAATGGATTTTTTTTTTTTTGAGATCATGTTTGACCTAAGCTAATGTTGGAGTCATCCAAACATTTTTAAGCTCATGAGTATTTATAATGCACGTGCTGTTATCACCTGATCTCACACTTCTCATTTTTTGGCAGTAGCTGGTTTGATTGAAGCGTGGCTGAGTACTTACTATGTTCCCGATCCTGTATGTAGATGTAATGTGACCCAAACCTCATACCTTACACAAAAATTAACTCAAAATGGATCATAAACTTAAGGGTAAAATATAAAGCTGTAAAAATTTTCTAATGTATAGGAGAAAGTCTTGGAGACCTAAGACTAGGAGGCTACTCCTTAGATAGAACACCAAAAGCAGGATAATTGAAAATTTGACATATTGGACCCATCAAAATGTCAAACTTTAGCCTTGGGAAAGACTCTGTTAAGAGGATTAAAATACAAACTAGGAAGTGGGAGAAAATATTTGCAAATAACAAGTCCAACAAATAAAATATTTAAAACCTATAAGGAACTGTCAAAACTCAACATTAAAAAAAAATCCCATTAGAACATGGGCAGAAGACATAGACATTTTACCAGAGAGGATATGCAAATAGCAAATAAGCACATGAAAAGATGATCCACATTGACTTCAGGATATCAGGGAAGTGCAGCAGAAGCCACACAGGTAACAGGTAACACTGCACAGTCATTCGAATGGCTGAAATACAGAAACAGTTTACAACACCAAATGCTGGCGAGGCTGTGGAGAAACTGGATCTCATACATTGCTGGCGGAAATGTAAGTGGTACAGCCCGTCTGAAAAATATTTTGGCAGTATCTTGAAAACTAAACATACAGGGCCGGCCGAGTGGCACATTGGTTAAGAACTGGCTTGGGACGCCTGAGGGCTCCGGTTCGGATCCCACATATGAGGGCCAGTGACACTGCCCTCTACAGCTAAGATGCTGAACAACAGCTCAATCTGGAGCTGGGCTGCGGCTGCAGCCCCTGCTGCAGTGGGTTGCCATGGGCTACCATGTGTAGCTAGCAGCCAGCGTGAGTGGCCCTCAAGCCGCTGTGAGCAGCCAGCAGCTGCAGTGAGCGGCCGTCCAGAAGCCTGCAACTGATCTGCCTCGCCCGGGAAGAGCCCAATGATGGTGCCAACTTGGGCCAGTGAAGCAACGTCCTCCACAACTAGACTGAAGAACAAAGGACAGCAACTTGTCTGTTCCCCTTCCCCCAATTCCCCAGCACTGTTCCCATCCCCCCAATTCCCCAATAAAACTCTTTAAAAAAACAAACAAACAAAAAAACCTAAACATACAGTTACCGTGTGATCCAGCAGTCATACTCTTGGGCATTTATCCCAGAGCAATGAAAAGCTTATGTCCACAGAAAAATCTGTATACAATGGTTCATAGAGACTGGAATAGTCCCAAACTGGAAACATCTGAATTGTCTTTAAAACATAAATGGTTAAACAAACAGTGGTGTAGTTAAATGACAGATAAACGTTCTTTCAGTCTAGTTGTGAAGGATGTTGCTTCACTGCCCCACGTTGGCACCATCATTGCGCTCTTCCCAGGCGAGGAAGATCAGTCGCCGGCTTCTGGACGGCTGCTCACAGAGGCTGCTGGCCACTCACGCTGGCTGCTGGCTACACACGGTAGCCCATGGCAACCCACTGCAGCAGGGGCTGCAGCCTACACCATCGCCGGCGACTCACGGCAGCCCAGCTCCAGGTTGAGCTGTTGTTCAGCATCCTTGCTGTGGAGGGCAGTGTCACTGGCCCTCCTCATATGTGGGATCCAAACCAGGGTCCTCTGGCGTCCCAAGCCAGTTCTTAACCATCACGCCCCTCGACCGGCCCGGTCTTTACATTCTTAAAAATAATTAATTGAGGACTCTGAAGAACCTTTATTTATGTAGGCTATATAAAATATTTTTAAAAAAATAAACCCATTATATAGTAACATAATTTTATGAAAAAAAATTTTTTTAAAAAAATAGGTTAGTAAGAATGGTATTTTTAAATTTATGCAAATCTATGTTAGTTTTTGGTTGAATTCTCACATACGTTGCAATATAGCATGTATAATCAAAAGCTACTATGACCACAGTAGATGTACTGAAAACAAACTGAGTTCATCTCTGAAAAAATATTTATTTATACCCTAAACCTACTACTACCTTAGGAAATTCTAGGAATCAGAAGAACAGAAAACCACATATTCTATATTAGTCATCAGAGCAATGACATTACACATTGTGTAGCCTCTGGAATATGTCATTGTACAGTCATGAGAATATGAGGATGAAAATGTCACATAACATGTTAGTGTTACTATAAAAATACTTTGACCTCATGGAACCCCTGAAAAAGTCATGGAGAGCCTAGGGTTTTGTGAACCATGGTCTGAAATTCTGTCCTAGTGTTCATTCATTGTGAACATTAGAAAATGGTATGCTTTTTATTATTTTGGTTTTAATTGGCTCATTCCAGAAAAGTATGCAGTATTTTTCATATTGGGTTAGAAAAGGACTTTCCAGTACTTTAATAAGGTCGTGCGATGAAAGAAGACAAAACCATTTAAATAGTTCGGGGAGCACTTAGAAGTTGTACAAGGAGACCTTAAAAATTTTTGGCAAGATTGGTTTTGATTTTGAGCTCAAAATAAAAAAGCTCCCTTCTAAAGACTTGTTGTTTGAGGGTAGAAATTCTGTCATCATTTTTACATTCTCATTTCAATGGTTTGCTTACATGTTTAAAGAGCTAAAGAAATAATACTTTGGGCCTTCAAGATTGTGCTTGTCGGTTGTATTTTATTATAGAGCCTGGAAATATGTTGTAAGGAGAGAGTACAGTTATGGAGACAGATGTCAGCTGCTTGTTGTAAGCTTTGGTTGTTTTGTTATAATATCAGGGATAATTATTATCTTTCAATTTATCTTTAGAATGGAGGAGCCACCTGTCTGCTCCTACTTGGAAAAGATTCTTTCTAAAAATGTGGAACTGATGGAAAAGAAACTAATGGACCACATCGACCAGCAAATCTATAAACTCCAGGAGCACATAGATAATAAGATCGCTTTATTAATGGACTTGCTGCAAAATCGCAACTCCTCACCCACTGGGATGCCTCTAAGACATTATGACTCCAGAGAGAGACTTTCAAATGGAGAAAGATAGGTGCTCAACTTGTACAATGTACTGCAGATATTTATTACTTATTTATTACAAAGCCAAGACCCAAAAGTTCAAAGCAAATATTTAATGTCATCTGAGGATCGCCATCTTACATAAAGTGACCTCAGTGTTCATTTTAACTGTACTTGTTATTGTAAACCCAGTACTGTGCATTAAGAGTTAACGGGAACGGGTCCTAAATTATTTTTGTTTGCAATATTTTTCACTTTTATAAGGAATTTACATATACTACTGTGTTGTTTAAATTTTTTTCAGGACTTCTAATACAGTTCATTAGTGTGTATTGTATATGTGTTTGAAGTACTGTTTTATTTATATAAAGACCTTATGTTTAAGGGGTATGGAAAAAATGCTTAGACTATTTGATTTTTTTGTTGTCTTTTTCTTATGTTGTTTTTGGAAAACTGGGTACATAAGATTGCAACCTTTAATTTCAGATCACCAAAATTACATTTTGTTTATTTCAATAAAAAATTAGATGTGATATTTGCCATGTGTAAAACTAGTTTACATTGGAGCCATGACTTTTATGTCCTGTCACATTGTAACTACCGATAGGAAAGTAAAAGTCAGGAGTGGCCTGTTTAAAAAAATAAATTAAATAAATAAATAAAAAGTGCCTGTTTGATAGGATTATTGCTTTAGATTTAGTGATTGATGCAAAATGAGAGAAGTCATCTTATTTTACTTCAATAACCCAGGAAGTATAAGGAACTCTCATTTTCTGAGCTGACATAGGTTGTCCTTCCCAGAGCCCTTCTGTGGTGTTTACATGTGACGTGCTGAGGCTCTGCGTGGAAGGAGTAAGGCCTGGAACTCAATGAGAGAGCTGTTCTCACTGTCAGACTTAATTTTCAGAAACTATAACTATCGTATATGTGTTGATATATTTGCATCTAACAAATAAAAATAAATGCATCTACTCTGGGAACTACTTGTCTTAATAGAAATACTTTTTTTCGTCTAATATTTGTTTAAGATGAGAAAGGATGTTTTACACTCATTTAATATTTTGGTAAATTTAGTTCTTTAAAGTGAGGACTAGGAAATATAATGTTTATTCATTTATGAATCGTTCTGACCTCAGTGGCATGAGGACCCGTATAGCACTTATGTCATGCTCTTCCTAATTTATTCCTAACGTGTAGCCATGAGGTAGCATTGCTCTCAGCACTCAGGAGAAATGCGTATCACTCAAAGCTGAACCCTTTGGTCATGGTTGTACAGCTTCTGTAGTTGTGGTCTGTTCTTTGATTCACAAATCGCTTCAATATAGTTATAATGAGAACACATAAGCTCTCATTATCTTAGGGATTAAATAATATCTGAGGGATTAAAATAAATACAATATTCATCATTATAGTACTACAAATAATTCAGATGAGATTTAATTCCTGATCTTAATTTTTCTAAGTAAATAAAGATCTAAATTACATTTTATATATTAGAATTTCATAGGCATTGATTTTTTTTTTTTGATTTTTTTTAATTGGAGAATTGGGGGGATGGGAACAGTGCTGGGGAATTGGGGGAAGGGGAACAGACAAGTTGCTGTCGTTTTGTTCTTCAGTCTAGTTGTGGAGGACGTT